CTTTTGGCGTTGCTGGTTCGGAGCAACGGATGTTGGGTATAAATAATGAGGAGATCGTTCTTTTCTTTAGAAAAGACCCAATTCTTTCTCTCTCTCTCTCTCGCTCTCTCTCTGACAATTCTTTGCATCCTCGTTTCGTAATTAATTTGTAATTTCTTTCGTTTTGTCATGAATCATTTATAATTTCCTTTGGTTGGAATGTCACTGATAATCCTTGATGCGGATTGCAACTGTATCTGAATGAAATCCAAGAAACCTTTCTTTTTCATCAAGTGCGAGTGATACGTTTATTTATTATAATTTCCTGACAGTTGGTTAACGTGATCCTATCGTAATCCTTTTCAGTAGTCGATGAAACAATCGAGTTCACGCATAGTGTTTCCATTGTACAAGCTCCTTCGTTACTCGCGACACTCGGACGCCCTCGCGCGTGACTTGACGACGCTTAACTAATTAACGTAAAATTCGATCGGTCATGGAGGACCGTTCCCTCCTGCTTTCTCCTTGTCGCATCTTCACACTCAGTCAACAGGGACAACCTGTTACCTCGTTCCATCTCGCTCTTTCACGCTCAACAGACGACTATCACAGCTCTATCCAACCGTGTGGGAGCATGGTGTTAAAGGTCAGCCTATTTCCACAGACAAACGAAGTTGGTCCGTTCGTACAAACACCTGTAAGCTCGATGCAGACAAGCCATTCTTTCTCGCGCTTTTTCTCCGCGTTACCGAACATGGTATAGCTAATGCACATGTAGAGTCGAGATACGCTTTGTCACTAAACGTAAATGCTACGTGAAAAATTTCAAATTACTTTCCCAGTTGTGCCTACAAATCATTTTGAACTGAGGAAGAGTACGATGGAGAAGTGTTTCAACGTCTTCGATAAAGATATTTATTTAATATGTCTCCCGAAGCAACCACTTTCGAATTAGCTTACTTTGATTCCAGATATTGGCGTAAATCATAGAAATAATTTGTAACATTTGTAAATGTAGAGCCAACTTCGTACGCGATTCGATAGGATTATATTTTCAATGGTACAATGCGGACGAGCGATGTTCTCATCTCAGAAATATGAAGATGTCGAGTATTACATACAGTAGAATGAACCCACAGAAGGGCCAACTGTGGTCAGACAAAAAAACTTATATTCATAATTTCATAAAAAAAGAAAATAATGTTCAGAAGAATGATAAATTGTAAAAATCACTATTTCTTCCAATTTGTTTCTTTTTCCACAATGAACGTACAAAATCATTATGACACTCGTCAACTATCCGAGATTCAATTGAGCTTCAGTCTCGCTGTATTACATTTTTAATGATTTAATACAGGAATGGGTACTCTTGCTATTAAAAACACATAGACACATCATAGAATTATAATATTGTTGCAACGTGTTAGTGATCCACGTGGTGTCCAAGAGATTGCCCGATCGTTTGCAAATTAATCGTGCACGAGCCACCACCGTTTTCACGATTCATCGTCGGCGGCTACTGTCGTTCGATCACCTTGCGAACAGGTTCACGCGCACGGAAACATAAATTTACCTCACGTGGTAACGGTGGCCGATTTTCAGAGGCGGTCGAACGGGTGGGCCGTGGGATCGCGATAAAAAGATGAAGGTGTGTACGCGCGATTCCACGAGGGCATGACACTCCGCGGGAACGAAGCAGCCGAACCATCTTGTTATTACAACCTGTAAATCGATCTCGTTGGAGTAATTTGCGGACTTCCTGATAATCGTGAATTACGCGTGGCTGTAACACTCTGTGTAATTACGCGATACGGAGAAATTATGCGATGATAACGCGAGAGTAATAAGAAAGTCTGACCTAATTACTTTACGGCGATCTTTACGTTCAATGCATAGAGTTGCCGATATTTAGCCAAATATGATACGGCGGAACGAGCCGAAACAGGTGAAAGCGAGTGAAACGAATTATCCTCGAGCCTTTGAAATCTTCCGATGTTGTTTCTGCATTCCGTCTTAATTATTGATAATTACAGGGTGAATAGAAAAAAAGAAGAAGAGACGTGAAAATTAGTCTTAATAATTAATAGTTTCAAAGTTATAAACGATTTTTTGTTTCGGTTGAAGAATTTCTTCGCTTCGAGAGTTGTCATACTCTATGCAAGTAGTAGTTTATTTTAAAATCTTTTTTCTGATTATTAGAGGTTTACCACGTGTCTTTCCTCGTATTAAAGAATTACGTACTCTTTTAAACATTCAGATGTGTTTCAACTTTTTGACAAACATTTCAACCGAATTATAAACAAAAGGTCGTTTACATGTTTGAAACTATATGAATCCTTTTCTCTATTCAGCCTGTATATACATTACGTGCATTTTGTATATATATATATATATATATATATATTCTTCTAATTAATTAGAATTAATAGGTTTTCGCTTTTATTTTGCTCGAAATCGACGAAACTTCATAGAACTAACATCGATCGGTAGAATTCAACGCCGATAAAGTCGGAACGGAACGATTCGATTCTCATCACGTCGCTGCGCGATACGTAGCAAACACGTTACGTAATTAAAATTCCCACAAATTAATCAGTAATAAATCACCGTCGAGGAAAGAACAGGGAGCGTATGTCGCGAACGTCGAGGAGAGACGCTCGTGACCGAGAAGACATCCGGAAACGTCACTGTTGGCAGGGCAGGGGAAAGATTTCTTCTTCGTTCCCGATTCGACGGGGAGAGGCACTTTGTCGCGTCTCGTGCCCGCGTGGAATCGGGTTAATCAGCGAAAAAAGAGACACGGATCGAAATGTATCGGGCGGCGGTTTTCGAGCAGCGTGTCGCCGGAGATAAACGCGCGCAAAGCGGATGGTCGCGATTCGCGATCGCCAATGAAAAGGGGAGGGCCAGATTGCTGGCCGCAGCTGTCGCCGCTGTAAAAGGCAGCGAGCAACGACGACTGCTTTTCGACAACCCAGAAAATACGCAGAATTCATGGATGCGCACGTCTCTCCGTGATGTTTCCGAGATGCTTCTTGCATCGCGACGTGCCTCTCTTCTTGTTAAGCACATATGCCTCGTCCGTCGATGGACCGGCTCGTAAATTAGTTGTAAATAGGCCAGCCAAACAGAAGGGCCACAAATTGGATCCTTTTGAAAAGCGCGGTCAACGTTCGATCCTTGCCGATCGCACAACAAAATGAACAGTGTTTATAGTTGAATGCGATAGAATCTCGATCGTCAGAATACTCATTATGTTCGATCAGCGGGATTTTACTACACTTTCTACAGTTTGTACAGTATTTAATTATGCAGTAATAATTTTTATCAATATTATCGAGACTAATTATTACGAGAAATTTTCTTTATAATATGTATATGAAATTTAGTACAGCTTTTGTTATCCGAAGACATCCGGCGGCAATAATCGAAATTATACTGCAATTGGTTTTATTAAATTCTTGAAACATCTCGCACAGATTGAGAAATTAATTTCTGAAATTTATTATTTTCATCTTCTTCCAATTTCATTTCATTTTTCAAACAAAAGACAAGAGTCGATTAAACGAAAATATACTAAAACAGATGTCCAGTGTGATTCAACTGTTTCTCATGGGATCGTGGTGTCACTTTAGATCTGACAATAAAAAAGAAAAAGCAATAAAAATAAACGTGTAGCTTCGAATAATCTCGATAGTATCTGCAAAAATCGTGCTGCTAGATCGCGGATGCGTTAACACACCCGTAAACACGTATGTACGTAGCTGGCTCTCAGAGGTGATATTTCGAAGTCTCCGTGGACGGACCTGGCTATTGTATCCTCCTCGCGCTCATTAAATATTAACGAGAGTCTCAATTTCTTCATTTCGTTGATGAGTCGCCGCGCGCCATCCGAGAGTCCGCATATAGATTGAAAATTAACTTATATGAGCGCCGACGAAATATATGTATACGTCGTATATGCAGCACGCTGCACTTATACGACTCCGGGGCCTACAATTTACACGAGAGGTCCCTATGTTGGTATAATCCCTAAGTAGGAGACCTTCCTCTTCTTTTTCTTCCGCCTTCGACCTTCCTCCTCTTCCACCGCCTTCTCCGCCGCAGCATCTTCCTCTTCTTCTTCTTCTTTTCCTTTGAACGTCGAATCCCTTTTCTCCTCCACTTTCAGCCTTCTCCCGCTCTCACACCCTCTTTCGTTCTCCTCAATTCGTTCACACACGAACGCGAAATCCTTAAATACCTAATTTGATGCTAATTAGAACTCGCACTTGCTCTCCGCCATGGCCAGATCCCGCTGCGACTGGCTTGTGCGTGTATGTGTGTGTGTGTGTGTGTGTGTGTGTGTGTGTGTGTGTGTGTGTGTGTGTGTGTGTGTGTGTGTGTGTGTGTGGCGGAAATGCAAACCGTTTTAGCGAGGTTACAGAATCGTGGGGTGGGTATCTCGTTGCGTGGTTATTGATATTTCGAAGGAACATAGTTATCGGTGCTGGGGAATTCGAGCGGAGATCCTTTCGGCTGGGACATGAAAGACGCGTAACGCGAATAAAAATCACATTTCATGGCGCTGTGGTTGGATATTACTCGTACGTTCGATGACCAACTTTGTGGGGGCCGCGTCTCCAGCTTTGGGCCTCGAGGTCTCTTTTTGGTCAGGGATAGAGGCTTAATTTGCGATTCAATTAAGAACGGAACGAGACTCGTGGAATCGTTTGCTCCTCCGATTGGGGATGATTTTGGTAACTCCGTGGGTCCACATTTTTCTCTCGTGAATTCGATGACTATTTTTCTTTCATTTAATTCAAGTTGGATTGCTAGGAAAGTGGTAAATTTTCAACATTTACATGAAGGTAGATAATTTTCAAATAGATCGCATGCAATTGTTTGTAATAAATTCTGGGTATGAAATTATATTGAAATGAAAATTTGGCAACAACAACGAGGCAAATGTATTCCAAATAGGAGAAATGAAACAACGGTAAATGGTATGAAACGCGAAATGAACGATAGCATTTTCAAAGTCCAGATGTACGTAACTATTTATTATACGATAATACTCGCACTCGAATGCTGCACATTAATTTCATCTATACAGTTTTACGTAATTGGTTCGCCCGTGTATCTGTTTGTGCGTGTGCGCGCGCGCGCGTGTCTATACGCGCGCGCGCATCGTGTGTATGGTTTATTTTTCTTGTTTCGATTTTTAAGACGCTGACGTACATTAAATCATCGCTATGCTACACATGCCTAACATGCGACTGCCCGCCACTTTGCCGGCTATGCAGACTATTCTCGACTCGACGTGTCGAGGCTGCCTCTGATCCTGGGATTTGCTGCGTCCCAAAATCTGGAAAGGAGTAAGAAAAACCGCATCGATCGCGATAATTGACGAGATGTTGTCCGCGGGGCAAGGAATGATGGGGAATTTTCACGTCGGCGAGAGGAATCGCGGGATTTAGAATACCATCGGGACGATCGTTTCTCGTCGCTTGCAGTCGATAAATATCATCTTCTAATTTTACGACGTATATATATAAAAATTATAAGTTCTCGATCGTTACAAATAAATCTCATCTTCTCGTCATAGGAATCCTCGTTTCTATTCTCTCGTTTTTTTTTTTTTTTAATTTTCTCTTTTTTCTTGACGTCACGTCAGAACCTCAACGCACGCGTGTGTCACGCAGTCGAAAAGTTCGCGTCGATTTTTTTTTTTTTTTCTTTTCGTTTTGGTACTGTTTCTTTCTTTCTTTCTTTTTTTCTTCTTGGCGTCCATCACTTTGCTACACTTTGTCGATGGTCGCGCTCAGGATATTCCCAAGCCTTCTGCTACGTTGCTTAACGTTTGGCTAAAAACTTTTGCGATCTGTCCGCTAATTTTCATCGTCTATAATATATATACCGTGTCGTCAATGGTCGAATGAGTGTATTCCGTGTCGATCGAGTCCAAAGATCCACCATTTTTGATCGGATGAAGAATTCCTTCGTTTCTTCTTCTTTCGGCTTCTTCATTTTTTTTTTTTTTTTTTTTACAATGACAGACAAGCAATAAATTGCAAAATACGATAAGATCTCGCGCTTATTCGAGATACGAATTGGAACGAAAAGAGGAATGATCGTTTTATTTGAACAATCGCGCAAATACCTCGGACTCGATCGGCACCGTACAAAAAGAACTCGTATCTTAGCTACTCGTTATGTACGTACGTTTTTGGCACGAGGAGAGGAACGCCGTTTTACCACACCTGTCGTTCGTTCGTTCGTTCGCGATTCTCTAGCCCGTAAATCGCCATTATCAAAAAGTGTCGTCGTGACACGGTTCTCGGCTAAAAAGGAGGAGTGAAGCAGCGCGCGATGTCGGGCTACGGTGCCACGGAGAAGAAACACCGAGATACGTCGAAATAACTTCAGACTCGAAACACGCCTCGATTTTCGAGCTATCGAAAATGACACGTAGACGACTCATCAGTCGATCGATCGACCAATAGTTATTTTAAATATATTCTCAATGACTCGAGCATACAAATGAGAAATATTCTTCCATCAAATTCAACACAGCAGTTTCGTTTGTAATTAGAAATATTCTATTCAAATTCGTGTCGCCGTTTCTTTACACGCCGAAGAAGAAAATGTAAATAAATAATAATCAACCGGAACAAGAATCGCTACTGCGAAATCGATCTGAAGCTTTAAAAACCCGGACCAGTTGAAACAAACGAAACAATCCGGCGGTGTAATATAATTACACGGTGGAGAAGGGTGGGATACGCCCATTCTGTCGGAACTCTTCTTAGTCTCACGATCCAAGAAGACACGGGACAGTTTTATCACCGTAGGACAGGATCGTTTCTTCCCCCTTATTTCGACGAATCTACCCACCTATGCCACCTCGACCGTCGACGTCGAAACCCGACTCGCGCTCTCGCTAGCGAGACAAACTATCGCCTAGTACCTTTGGTAAATCGGATGTGCATGGAACTATGATTATTATCACTGATCGCTTAAACATAAACCGTTTCAGCCTAAAAACGCTGTTGGCGCCGCGTCGATCTGCCATTATCGGCGAACCTTGACCGTTTCCCGGTGAGTTACAACTCGGTAGACCAACCGTGTGTCTCGATCGATGGAGTAGAGATCGACGTAGAAATCGATAACAGCGTAGATCTGGAAGATGCTTGGCTCGATTCGTTTTATGCAACCTTGTACGTACGGGTGGTTGATGGATTGGCCGATCGGTTTTTAGCGTGGCTCGGCCACGTAAATCGTGGCTGGTGATCGATGAACGGTCGTTTGTTCTTGTTACGTGTAATTGACGTTTGCAGATTGTTGCTGAAGTATAATCGCTCGAGAGGCGTTTAATAGTCGGTTTTGCTTGAACGAATGCGATAATTGCGGGGATTTGACAAGCCTCTGTAGGAACGGATCGTTTGCAAGCCATTAGCGATTGTAAACGTCTTCATTGGCCGCGTGTCGCTTATTAATTAAGAAACGTGGCTTTCTAACGAGCCGGTTTAATCGAAATCATTAATTCTCCTTATCGGACAAATGACCGCGGCGATCTAAGTCATTCGAAAACAACACGGGGAAGCAACACGCTCTCGGATTTATTACTCACCGGGAAATTCGTCGAAGGATTCAGCGTCCCTAGGAGTCCCTAGAATTCGCCTAGAATTCGATTCTCGCGCCATTCAAAGGACTACTCAACGGAAACGCGGTCTTCTACGTTTTATTATTTTTTTCTTACTTTTTTTTTTTTTTTCTCGAACCGAAACGTCGCCCAACGATGTCAAACGTTGGTCAACAATCAACTGGTCGAAACTCTCGAGCAAGAATAGGGGAAGAAAATTAAGCCGATTGCGGCGGGGAGGGGGAGAGGGTAGGAAAGTCCACGCTTTATCCTCTGAGAAAACGGGCGCCGAGGAAATCGATTCGAAAAGGAAGACGCGGCCAATATCCTTCATCCAAGATGGCTGGAAAGGCTGCTGTAGCTGTCTTCCTCCATCTCAAGCCGTCGTCAGTAAAGATCGGAGAACGAGACCTGAGAGGAAACGCCGGAATGTAGGTGATGAAGAGCGTGCAGCTCCTCCATCGAGGTCGACGGCATGCTGTTGCTGTCGCCTAGGATGCTGGCCGCCGGTCCTACGTTCGGCGAGCCGGCCGTGTTCGACGGCACGGGCGTGCCTGGACACCCCACGTTGCTCGTCGTCGTGTTGCCCTCCTGCCTCATCATGTTTCGTCGCCATTTCGCGCGAGCGTTTTGGAACCAGACCTGCGCGAACCGAGAATCAGTGCTCAGGGCTCGTTCTTCCTTTCCTTCTTGTTTTGCATTTTTTTTCTTTTTCTTTTTTTTTTTTTTTTTTTTTTTTTGTTACATAGAATTTATAATAAATGCAAACACTATATTCGTAATACGCGGCGTCCGAGAATCGAAACGCGACGATCCAATATTTACACTCCTGCTCCACATTCATTCTAATCCTATTTACTTTTTTTTTTTTTTTTTTGTTTCTGTACATGTCTCACTGTATTTTTCTTCTTTTTTTATTTTTTTATTATTTTTTTTTTAATACAAAAGACGCGCGACTCGTTCTTCTTTTTTTTCATTTTTGCTGCTTCAGAGAGAGCCCCGAGAAAACTAGAAAGCCTTTGTGTGTTCGGGGGTGGGGATTCTATCCTAACCTAATCGTTTCGTTTCGTTCCGTCGCGCGTCGACGATGAACGAGGGCGCCCCCCGAACTCACGCCCCTCGTTGTTCAGCGAAAGAGAAACTCAACGAAATTTCGTCCTAAAACGTATCGAAGACGAACGCAACGGTCGTGCAAGCGTTTCGGAATCTAAGTGGAATCATTTTGTTTTTTTGGAAACGTTCTTTTCTTTTTTTCTTTCTTTCTTTCTAACTACGTTGGAATTGCCAATCGATTGTAATAATCCGAGACTCTGGCGCGACCAGCGTTCGAAGCGACTCGATTTAACTCTCAAGCACGTCCCAATCCGTGGAAGCTTCAGTAGCCCCCGTGGTGAGTTTCTAAGTATTTCATACAGTAGTTCTATCATATATATATATATATATACATATATTGCTTTCTCTTCTGTGCGTAGCGGCGATTAGTAAGAATCCTAAAAAGAGATTGTTGCACCGGCGCGTAAGCGTACGAGGAAAGACTCGCGCGGTTCAACTCGCGGGTTTTTTTTTTTTTTTCTTTTTCCTTCTTCTTCGGCTTGATTCACGTGGAAGATCGTACTCAAGGGTTAAATTGCATCGCCAGGCAACAGCGACCCCGCTGGTGGAATGAAGCTTCCCGGTTTTGAATTTCGCACACGTATGCGCGTATTTTTCTTTTTTTTAACAAACTTACCCGCTAAGTCCGACGCTTTAAGTGTACGCGAGTTCAACAGCCGATGGGAAAAGACAAAGTGATGCAACGCGTTTAAAGAACACATGTTTTTCGTTCTTCGAGCAATCGTCGTTCATCTTTTTCGTTTTTTTGTTTTTTTTTTTTTTTTTGTTCGTAAATAACTAATGAATTTTNTTTTTTCTTTTTTTTGCTGACGCATGTAGAGTATAGATAGAAAATATATAGAATAGATAGTGTAGATAGAGCATATATAGAATAAATAGGAAAGGATGGTAGAAGGTTGAACGATGGAAAAGTGTAATAACAAATGAAAATTCGATCATTAGATACTGTAATGATCTGGTTCACTTTCCGTGTTGGTCATCTCGTTACACTGGATTTCTTTGGAAACTCTGTTTCAAACACGATATTCCACTCTTTTACTAGAAATGGTTATATGTGTATATGTAGGGTGTTTCGTTTTAATCTATAAACTCAATTATCTCCGAAACAATTATATTTGTCATTTGAAAAATATCTCAAATGTGTTTGTCTCTGTTTTGAGAGGGCAATAATATTTATCTCGGCTGTGTACGAGGGAAATGTCGAAAGGAAAATCAATTATTACATAGATTATCCCGTAATGTAAATTCCGACTAGATGCTGCCAGCATCTTTATTGCATAAAGTACGAAAGTCATACTTTTTACTTCGAATGAAATAAAACAAAATATTATATTTGCTAATTATCTTTCGTACTGTTGTCGAAACGAGACTGAAATTTATTTCCTACCTGAAGCACCCTCTTCGAGAGTCCCGTCTTCTGCGCCAGTTGCTTGAGGTCCTTCGCGTCGGGATTCTGATTTATAGCAAAATAATTCTTCATCGTCCGCAACTGATGGTGCTTGAAGCTCGTTCTCATCCGCTTCGTTCGCTGGCTCTGATGCACCGGCCCGGGTGAACCGACAGACGCTTCGTACGCCGCCAAAGACTCCATGGACGAGGACAGTTCGGTCGGGTGAAGCAGCTCTGCAATCAAATTATCCTCCTTCACTCGATATTTCAATCTCGATATATGTGCAATTGTATCTTCAACGTATATCTACAATTGAACGTTGAATCTGGAACAGCTTGAAATTTAGAAACTATTAAATTCCATGATAGTTGTTCTCAGGGAGCTTGAAAAGAAATATAAGGCAGAGTAACCAATTAACAAGGTTTTGAAACGACGACAAGATGAAAATTTAACGTGGACTGAAGCGTAGATGAAGATCTGACAATAAAAAGAGACGCTTGAATTCAACGAAATTAACCAATAGTTCAGTCGTGTTTGACGTAAGAAGATTGGACAGCAGCTGGAAAGAAGGTAAACGTCGATCGAACGATACACAGAACGGTCGATGCTAAATGAGAAGATTCCGCTCTGATCGTTACCGAATGCTCGTGATCCATCAATCGATACTAGGCAACTATCTGTCCCATCCATCGAACGATTTGTTCTTCTGTTTTGGCGACAATCGTGAACAACGATCTTAAAGAAGGGCCATTTTCTTTTTTCTTTTTTCTTTTTTTCTTTTGAAGATGATTGCTCGCCATTGATGAAGGTCAAAATTAGATCTCTGAAAGCAGAACCTCGAACATCTCTATCGACTGCAAGTGTCACGTTCCATGAATCGGATCTAACGGTGGCTATAAAATGCAATTCTAATAGTACCAAAAGTACTAAATTTCATACTAATTTTTACCAATTTCTTGGAATTTCCAAAATACTGTCCGTTCGTGAAAACAGTCCTAATATCAACTGCTCGATATAGAGCCGTTTCGTCTGTAAACCAAACTTCGCCGACCCTGCCTCAAAACTGGCCGAAACACTGTCGTCCATCTCGTGGTCAGCGCGGTTCGCTGAATCTCCCGATGGATCGAGCGATCGATCTTCGTTCCCTTGCCCTCCCCCTCCGCTTCCATTCCCTCCTGCACCCCATATCCACGGAAAGCCGTCGACGTACGTGCAGCGTGCACGTGAAACGAATTTCCGCGCACGTAAGCGAGCCGAGGCGAGCGTGGTCGTGGTCGTGGATAAAAGCAGCGAGGAGAGCATTCGAAAGAGGGACGACATCGGTGTGCAACCGTTCACTGCCGTTGCAAGTTGCAGTTGTTGCGCGCCGGCGGAGCGAAGGAACGCATCCAATAAATAAGACGACGAGGGTAACCATTGAATTCAATCGGGGAGAAAGAACGGGTTCCAGGCGACAGGGTTTCTCGTGGACAGCCGCGCGGCACAAGGGGCGGTCGAGGGGGGGAGGGGGGGAAGGTAGAGAGGAGGAGAAACACCCGACCAGAAGTAAATCCCCGAGCACGTATCCGCCATTACTGTTTATTGTCCCGAACTTCCATTCCCTACGAACGCGACGGGCTGTTCACCGCGCTCTGGCTCGCGATCCAGAAAAGAGAAGAACCGCACTCGCGAACGGCCACACCGGCGATGGAATTCGTTTTGTTCGCTGGGGTGAACGACACCGATTTTTCTCCCTTGGCGCGTGTGTGTCTTGGCGTCGTCCGCTTGGAAAAATCTGGCGCAATCCGACGTGGATCCGTTTGATACTTTGGGGAATTTCTTGTTGAGAAGGGGGAGGAGAAGGAGGATCCCGAGTCCGCGTGTACGCGAGAGCGAATGTTGGCGGTGGGTCGAATGTAAAACTCGGTCGGAAGTGGTTTTGCGCGAGTTGGTTCACGATGAAGCAATAACTTCCCACGTTCCTGGTCTGGGTTGGTTTTTGGGTTAGTTCGAGATGCGGGTTCGATAAAATAAAGCGAGATAGTGGCAACGTGTAGTAAAATATATGAAGATTGTTCGTGAAAAAGATTAAAACCGGAATTACGAGATACTCTTTTACTTGTGGATTTTCTGAGTCAGGCGGCGATGAAGATAACTTTGCTTTAATATTTGTTCTGGATTCAAGAAACAGAGATGGTGGTAACTGACATAAATTACGGCACAGTCAGTCCAGTATCTGAATACAATTAATAAGATTGATTTGACTGACTCGATTGGCTTGGCTGACACAATATAGGAACTAGAACGATAAAATGCAGATATCCATACCGAAGAAATAAAACAACGAAAGACAAAAGTTCTGTAAAATATTCTACGCTCTGACTCGGATCACCCTCTGCAAAAACAACTCTCGTTACCACTCAACCGACGTTCACTCAAAAAATCCAATTTTCCTCCGACCATTCATTCTATCCTCCACCGGGAAAAAACCATAGAAAAGCGCGTAGAGTTTCTTGCCAAGTTTGAGTTCGATTCCCAAACGGATCGCTTTCCTCAGTACCAGCTCTATCAATAAACGCGAGCGAGCGGACCCTGCAAAAGGAATACGCAAGTTTTTTCATCGAACTGGCCTGGTTCCCAAGCCTACGAGTCTCCCTACGTGTGATGGGAGGAGAGAGAGAGAGAGAGAGAGAGAGAGAGAGAGAGAGAGAGAGAGAACAGAAGGGTCTGAGACCCTGAGGAACAGAGGAGAGACGAAGATCGGTGGACGATTTTCGTGGCTCAAGAATGAGATTACAATTTGTCAGGTCCGGGCTAGAGGCCGAAATCACGCGGATGGCACACTGATGGTGGACGAGCGAGGGCCGTCTTCGAATCGGCAAGAAACTCACGCAGGCGGCATTACAGTGTTCCGCCGGCCATTCTGCTGGCTGCGGCCACGTATTGGCCACGGCAGCATTCTTTTCCTGCCAGATCGGCCAATCGATGCATCTCGCCACCGATACCCATCTGTCACTGTCCGCGGGGCCTAGCCTTTTCTCGGTTCGCGCGACCGGCGCGGCGTGCCTCGCGCTCGAATCCATCGACGAACGGTGAAATCGTTTCGTACCAACGCCCGTGTTAACTCCTCTTCCAGCGTTTGGTGAAATTTCCAAGTCCCGTTGTCGTTGGGTCAGTGGAAGAAGTTAGCATCGTTGAAGAGAAAAAATTTAATTTAAGGTTTAGGCCTGATGCAAAACGTGGCAGTGGATAGTATACTTGAAGTACTCGTTCGAACATATATGTTGCAGTTGTTTTTAGTCTTTTTAAGTAATTTGCTCGGAATGTAATAAAAATGAAGAAAGATGTTGCAGTAGCATCGGTAGCGTTACTTATTGTTAGATAATAAGTAGCAACGAACCTGTTAACATTTGACTGGAACGAAAGAAATTTGTATCATTTCACGTCCTAGGTTCTATGATTTGTAATATCAGTTCATTTTGTACGTAGATAGGTAGAAAAGTTTCCCACAAATGCACGAATACACACACAATCTGCTTCCACAACGTGAGCTTCATCCCCTCGACTTCCTCCAAAAAACGATTGCCAAATCGTTCTGAATAAACCTCTCGAAGACGTTCCATGGTGGAAGAAAAACGCACGAAACCTGCAGGAAATACACTCGGCGAAATGACCGAGCTCTGCCTGTTGGACAGAGTGAAACGATCATCCCCGAAGGGTGGGAGAGGGGGCGGGGGGGAAGGCGAATTTTTCAGCGTCGCAAGAACCGTAACCGCGGACGACGATGGTATTCTCAGCGGCGGAGAAACGACGGTCTTATCGCGGCCGCAATTCCAACGATTCATCGAACGCGCCTGCCGACGTCCAGACGGAATAGTTCGAGGGAGCCGGCGAACCGTGTCTGCAAAAAGTGTCCCAATTATATATAAAGACAATAAAACGCGAACCAGTCGGCCGGTTCCCACCCCGTTCAAGGCTGCGCGTCGCTCAAGCCGGACGCTTCATGGCCGATTTTATGGCCGTTGATCGTAAATTCCGGTGGCCCCCGGTAGCCCGAAAGTGATTCCCCCGAAAGTGATCGCGCGTCGATTATAAAATCCACCGGGTGGACGGCGGCGAGGCCTCGGTAACGTCGTAAACATCGTTGAAACAAACGAGACGCGGGGATACCGCGAGCGAAAACGTTGTTGTCGCCCCGACAAACGAGCCTGTTCCAACCGGGGACATTAAGCGAATTTACCACCGTGGTGATTTTCGGGAGATCGTGCACGCGCGATCTCGCTTCCGGGGGTAGTAAACGTCTCCGTGAGTTAACCCTCGCGCGGCGCAATACAGCGAAGGCGAGGAATTCCAAATGGGAAGCGCTTGAAAATAATTAATGTTTCTTTGTCGTCGAGGTTTTTACGATCTTTGAACAGTCAGTTCTTCGCGAGGTTCTTCAGTATACATTTAAAATGTGAAATTTATAGTTTGTTTAGGTTTCGGACGTTTGCTCGAATCTCTGTCGCGCGATAGCTGACATTTATCGGTAGACTCGGGGATATTTAAGCTAATATATATTTACGAGAAATTGAATTTTCGAAGCTCTTCAAAAGAGGAGGTTTGTCTTCCATCTATAAAAGATACTGTGCATGTTAAATTGCACTTGAATATTGCTCCGAGAAGATCACTCTGTGCGAATTTGAAAGTTTACACGTAACATATGTAGACAGAATAACTACATCCATTTAGCATCTACAAACCGAGCATCCGTGAGTCTTCGTCTTTCGTTTAATCGCATAATTCTTCGTTCTCGTCATCGAAAGGGGCCAGCGAAACGTCTTCCGGCGTATCGAGCAGGCCAATTTAAGCATCGAGTCCAATTGGAAGCAGCCACGACGAACCAAATGCGAGGACACGGTCGCGAACGAGGGGCTGGTTGTTTGTTCGGTCGCTTCTCAAAAAGGAAAACCGTTCGACCGGCTGGCACATGTCCGACACGCTGGACAAAGAGCGCGATGCCGCTCGCACGCTCGGACCCACGGATCAATTAGAGACAGCCGGTGGAAATTTCGCCGAAGAATTCCGCGTGTGTCGATGAGGGAACACGCCCCTAACGAGGCGAGCGCGAACAATCTCCGGCTGATTCGCGGTCCGCGATCCTCGAAAGCCTCTGGCAAATGTTTGCACACCGAAGGAACCAGCCATTATACTCATTGCTCGAGGCAAATAATGCAACTTGCCCGGCCTGCTCGATTCGAGGGATGGAGAGTAGAGAAAAAGAGAAAGGGAGAGGCACACTCTGGTGGCTAGAGGTGGGTTTCGATTGAGAGAAAGAGCGAAAGAGCTTCGCGCGTGTGCATACATTGAAGAGAAGGAAGAAAGAGCGGGAAAGAGAGACGAAGGACAGAAGCGAGATCACGAACGAGAGTACCACGTGTTCCCATGGTTTTAAGACCTACGTTTGAAAGCACACCCCCGTTTACCATCCGGCCCAATTATCCCTCTGGCAACCCCCTTCCATCCCTCTCTTACGTTCTCGCGTTGTTTCACCACTGCCAATTACACGTATTTGCGTCCACGGGCCGCCAGTCCAGCCGAGACTGGATTCTTGTGAATTCTTTATTGTTTCGACTGTACGACGGGTGGAACAAAAGGCCCCGAGGCCGACGTTTTTCTTCGTCCCTTGCCTATTTCTCTCTGCTCCGCATCGGCCGCGCGATTAATCGATCCGCGGCGCACGATGCCGCGGACATCGCCTCCTTTCGATCGTATTCGGGGATCGATGTATTCGCGAGTATTCGCCGTTCGTTTTTTCAAAGACGAAGCTCGTCCAGATTAAGTAATATTCCATTGCTTAATTGGACATTTTTTTTTTAGAACAAGAAATTATTGATCTTTTTCGTTCGAGGAAATTTGAAACATGTAGCTCGTTCTTTCAAATCTAAGGAAAAAATATTACTAAAAGTTATGCTATTAAATAATTCGTCAGTCAGTGTTATCCGAACAAATAGACTACGAATGTTTGTGCGTTTATAAGAAATTTTCGAGACTGCACGTAATGTTCAAAACAAACCCAGTGCAATAGAACTCCGTTTATATGTATTCGTCGGGATACAAGTAATTTAAATTAATTAGATTCCACTGATTCTCTGCTAATGATTTATAATGTATAATATACAATAGATAATATAATATATAATAGAATTCAATTCTTTTTACTTTTTAAATTTACTTTACTTTTTTTAAATTCAGTAGTTATAATATACAATATATAATAGAAATTCGAATAATTGGATTCAATCAACAGGAGCTCGTTTAATCAAATATAGATTCATGAAAATTTTAAAAATAGAAAATTTAGTTCAATTAAATGAAGCTGATATAAACTGATTGTGAGTTCTATCAAATTCAACGTACGAATGCAAATTTATGTCAATAGTAATAAATAAAAATCACAGTTAATAACTGGTCTTGCCTACACAGGTATCAAATAGGGATGCAATAAATTCAGTTTGTAGCGAAAGATTTACAATCGAGAAAGAGTATACGAATGGGAAAAATGTTGAGAAAGAAGAGTAAAGACGTAACTCACCAAGAGCACCAGCGGCCAGCCTCATGGTGACAGGCAAGTCGGATCCAGTGACTTCCGACAGCTTCCTCTTTCTGGGACGACCCTTCTGCACGGTACCGGACGAGGTAATCGGGCTCTGCTCCGCGGCGCTGTAATAAGCCGGAAGCGGCGACACTCCTGGCGAGCCGATGTCCTCGATATTGCTGGCTGCGCTCCCGTAATCCCCAGCGCAGCACAGCAACTCGTAGTGAGGTCTTGGGACCGACCAGCTCGTCATTCGTGAACCTTGCTGTCGAGTATTTCAGTGGCGACCCTGTGTTATCCTCCGAGTTCGATGAACGCGCGATCGCGATCACGCTCGCGAGGGGAGATAGACGAACGGCCAGGCCGCTTCCCGCCCCGATCCGAGTCCAGCGTTTTTTTTTATCATTGATCCTTTCATGGCTTGACTCGATCAATAATTAAACTTGAATAATTTTTCGAATCTCGAAGAGGAAACTGTGGTCTCTATCTCAAACATGTTTTCTTTAGCAGTGACTTTTTTTTACTAAATTGGTCTTTTGGAAACGAACGTATATTTTATATTAATTCTCTTCAATGTGGTAGTCAATAAGCAATTTTCAAGTAAACGCGACTTCTCTTCCTTGAAATTTTCTCTACCATTGATCATTTAAAAATTTTCGAATCTCGCGCCACTTACACGACAATCAAATTCCACGCACAATAGATGGACACAATAGCAATAATAATCTCTGGAGGGATCACGTTGCAAATCATTGCCTCTATATCAAACGTCTCCTTAAACGAGCCTCCTGCTAATTGCAAGCATTATTCGTGCGAATCCCTCAGTGATCGATCGCGAACATACGGATCGATACGCATTGCACACGCGCGAGCAGCAAGCTTGATAAGTCTGCGAGAGCGACGATCGAGTCGATCTCGCGAGGCGGCAAGCGGCACCGCGACGTCTTTCTCTTTACGAGAGCGCGCGTCGAGCTCGACTCTCTCTCTCTCCCTCTCTCTTTCTCTCTTTCTCTCTTTCTCTCGCTCTTTCTCTCTCTCTCCCTCTCTCTCATTTTCTCTCGTTTTCGATCCTGTTTCTGAGAATTGAAAAAACCGGATTCACCCACGCCTGAGGGCTGTCATTAGGTGAGCAGTGTAACGATAATAAGTGTCCTACGTCGACGCGCCTCGTGTTTCTGTCACTCTCGTCATCAAACTCGTTGATAACAAAGAGACGGCCTTTGGAGGATGGTAATTCGGGCTCGTGTTTCTCACCTACAGTAGACCAGGCCATCCCTCTGCCCGAAATGATCGCCCTTGTTCAGCGGGGTGCCGCACGAGGCGCACGTAAAACAGGCCACGTGGTAAACCAAGTCCCTGGCGCGCATCACCAGCTCCGACGCGGAGATGCCCGCTCGACATCGCGAACATCTCGAAACGGCGAACAACCTGCCAACGAAAATCACGAATATTTCCCTTTCACGTACTGTTCTTTTTTTTTTTTTTTAATCCAATGACGGTCATTGAACATATATATGTTCAAACAGTATAGTGTTATAAAGTAACACGAGCCTCCAAGTTCCCACTTCTATAGTTGTATAAAGTATGAAACTCTGTAAACAAAAATATCTAGTAATATCGCCTCCGCTTTGTATCATTCCACGCAGAAGTCAATGTAATTGCTGAAATTGAAATTATATTTCACGGTGCTGCAAGAAACGTTTTTCAAAGTGACTCAACCCGATATGAAAGATTTTTAAGATGCTTCTATCATTCGTTCGAACGATATGACGAAAATTGGAGCGTGACTTCAACGAAGGATAGAAGGATCTTGAAAGTCTTTCATATCGGTTTGAGTCGCTTTGAAAAACAAATGTGATCATTTAACAACAAAAAATATATGATATTTCGTAGTAACAATGTAGGAAAGGATAATTTTGTTGAATTTCGACAGCAAAAGTGGATTATTGTTTTTTTCGCTGTTCATACAACGATTCTGTTGCGAGCAGTGTGCTTGCAATATTAAATATTCATTGTTTAGAATTGTTTAGAATCCTATTCGGTATGTTTATCTCGAGTTTGTGATATCTCGTAATATTTTATAGTTGCACATGAATATTCTCCGTGTTATTTTCAATATTAACGCAATTGTCTCGCACATTTACTTTTATTTTCGACATTGCCACCGTTATTGTATCACTTTTACACACAACAAGTTGAATCCGGTACACATGGACGAATAAACAAATCAGGACATTGCGCACACTATGTTGATCACAAATTTTTATAGTCGAATTGTTTCGAAACAGTAATGTGCAATTAATGTAATTTTTTTCAATTTTTTCTAACTTTCTCGATCGAGGAACTTCCAGCGTAGATCGTATTTCCATCCGCAGTGAAGTAGAGTAATATCCGTGCCTGGTCAGACTACAGTCTCGAGCGTCCACTCGTGAACGCTGTTACGACAATTTTCAGTATACAAACTATACTAACAACTACGCACAAATAATTATTTTTAGATTCGAGTTACAGTGATCCGTGAGAATGTTTGAAAACTAAAAAATTTTGATTCGACCTTTAAATTTTACAGAAAGTATAGCGACTCCAAATTCCATTGCACGTCATTATGGAAAATTCGAGTTAAGTTAACTTACCACAGAGATAACGTGAAAGAAGTTACTGACTCGACTTTTAAATTCTACAGAAAGCACGGCGATTCCATTGCATCGCGTTATTATAGAAAATAAAACACGATTAGCAACCAATCGCCAATTCCCAAATGTCTCGACAACATATCGCATGCCAGAAAGAAATATATATCGAAAGATTCCTACAACCTGCTCGCGCCCGTGAGCCCACGTCCTCTATCCTCGTCGCGGCGTCGCGGCGATCCTCGAGTTTCCGAGATTCCAGACGAGGGTGGAACACGACCGTGGGCCGGTGTTCCCCGCGGGCTGAAACTCCGAGCCGCCGGTTCGTTAGAGAAGAATACAGGCTGCCCGGCTCCCATGCAATATGCAACGATCCATATCCAGGCCAACCCCTTTGTCTCTCTATTTGGTTTTCGCGCTTCGAAAACTGTAACTTCGGCCTCGATCGTCGACAACCGATATGAGAGCCTCGCCGAGGAAACCCTGTCCCCTCCCCTCTGTCGCCCTTTGCCACCCTCTCTGAATCCCCCTCGCCGGCCGACCACTCTCCCTTCGCGGACGTTATGGTGTATTAGTGGAAGAAAAACGTAACCAGAAGACGAAGGACGGAGGGGAAACGGGCGCTTCATTGTTCTCCGATTTTGGTTCGAGCCGATGGTCACGAACAACGGGAGGTCACGTGCGCGCGCGAACGGCCAACAGAGGTAAGGATCGATGAATTCGAGCGACGATCGGGATCGTTGATTTTGTAATTAGGGGGATTCTACGAAGAACGCGTGATCGAGAACTCGGCGGGTGTGGGGGTGGAACGAGCGACGACGACGCTCTTGGATCGCTGCTTCTGCTACACGGTGAATCGAAACGGTTCCGTCGTATTAAGAGGGTTGATTGGTAGACAGATACCGGTAGGATATAGTTGAGTCATTGTATTCGTGGCTTGCTACGGGGATAGATAAGAGGTATCTCGCAGGATTTTCATGGTGGAAGAATATTCCTGTGGTTCGTGCTCTTGGTATTCTCTTTGCCGACCGTTCGTGGATTCGGTATTACAAGCGCGATAAGGAGAGGGTTTCATTTCGAATAGATGTTCAGTTCAGTTAATATTCAGCGGATGATCGCCTTAAGTAGCCTTTCGCGAATTTTTGAATGGAGTTTCCGGGTGAGATAGAGTTTCGAAAAATTTCGTTCGTGAAATGTGTAAGAGGTATTTACACGTCGAATAACTTTTCGTTCTCTTTGCAGCACACTCGACTCGATTCGACGATATTCTAATGCATGAGGGGATTCTTTTGAGACGTGAGTCTCATCTTCGAGTGGAGGATTCTTCTCGAATTCTTTGACAAGCCGCTTTGTTTGCGCGAGATCACATTTCGCTGGAAAAAGAGGTTCGTAGAAAGGAGCTTTCGGTTAAAGCCGCTACCTTCGTTATTCCGGCTGTCTTTCCAAACGAAACGGAAAGAAACGTTTCAATTTTCCGGTCGTAACGACGCGTGCATTGAAGAATCTTCCTCGTCAGACCTGAACTCGCTTTGTTCCCTTTAATTATTCCGTTTCGTCGAAGCTTGCGCAACCTATGCAACGCTGATTAGACGGTGATTACAGAGAAGCTTGCAATCTAATCCTCCTTTTTCCCTGTCATTAAAAAAATGACAAGGAGACGACGCCCGATGATAACGGCGTAGAAATGATCGTTGAATTTCCCGACTGTTACATGCACTCTATTCAACAATGGAACACTCTCTTCTTATTTAAAATAAGAGCAGTCTGTCTGCTTTGTTCGTTCATTCGACCAGTACGAAAATTAACGAACTTTATTTTCTTATTTCTATAATAGTATTTCTCTCTACTTTCAAGGAAAAGATCGATCCGGTTACGCCGATTCTTCCATTTCAAGTGAAATTTTTGACTCTGCCAATTACGTAAAAGGGAACATTGAACCGGGCTCTTCCCTGAAAATCGATGAAGGAAAATTGGGAAATCATGTAAATTCTTTATTCACTTCTAGGAGCAGTCTTCCCTCTAAGAGTTTGTTAATTAATTCATGCATAGAAACCGAGGCATTGCTGAAGTTTCGCCGGTGTTATCCGCTGGCCGAGAATACTTCGCCGGTGAATAATTCATAAGGAATTGAATATTTAACGCTGGTTTCTGGCCGAAGCTCTCGTCAATTTAACAATTTCAGTTCGCTTAACGCGAAACGGAAAGAACGAACGGCGAGCGGGGGAAGAGAGAGAGAGAGAGAGAGAGAGAGAAAGAGAGGGAGAAGAAACGATTCTCACGCTTTTGAGAAACTACGGAAGGGAAATTATGCAACGCGTGCTTCACCGCCGCCGTCCGCTAACTGCACTCGGAATTTCAACGAGAACGCCCGTTTTTCATAGGCAAAAACGCAATAACAGATTCCCTGCATCTAATTGCCATCGTCGCAATGGCCGCGTTTAACGTAATTAATTTCATTCGTCGAGACTCTGCATTTTTATATCTTAATCTGTGCCGCGCCGGGCGTACGCGGCACGACGATCGAAATTACCATTGCAAGAGTTTACACGGAGAAAAAAATGTTGCGTCCTTTGCTCAACGAGCTGGAAAAATCTTCCGTATATGAAAACCTCGCCGAGTGAAACAGCTCGGTAGGTTTTCTTCTCTTGAAATTAGGAAGAATTGTTTCGAGACAGAGTCAGCGTCTATTTTTATATCGTATATTTAATTCGTATTCCTAATTTAACGCACCACGAGTTACATTTATATACACAACATGTCGTTGTAATATCGGAGTGATTGTTACGTACGTGTCTAACATTTCTCGAGATTAAAAATCATACTAAGATCTCGTACATTTGATCAGTCGAAACGACGCGATGGTGCACGCGAAGAAAAACGAAGCGTTGTCAACGGATGGCGGAAAGAGGCTGACCGCGGCTGGAAATCGTGACCGCGTGATTTTATCGCGGCAAACGTATCACAGCAGCGGAATTTCAGGATCGGGTTAGACCTTCCTAGGACAAGTACCGGTTAGAGTTGGCCATTAGTAGACATTTTGTGTGGTCCGGGCGAAGTTTTGAGCGGGGCGGACGCTCTTATGCAAATTCGCGGATACCCCAATAAATACTGAAACGGGAAGCCGGCCCCGGGGCAACCGACGCTCGAGGATCTTGCATTAATTTCCCGCGTCATCCCGGTAATTCGACGTAAAATGCCACGATGAATGGTTGGATCCGCTTTGTTTCCGCGAAACGCGAAATGGCGAGTACGAAGGAAACTTTCGAGCATTATTAAATACAACGTTCGATTCAAAGGCGGAACACATCCGTCCAGTTTTCCACTCTTTTGACGAGAAAATCATTCCACAATACGCGAATTATCAAAATATTCCACTCGCATTGTATTTAATCAGAAGGAGTAATGATTAATTTAATTTCGTGCAATTTCTATTGACTCGAAATTAATATTTATTGATTTACTCTGTTGGGGAAGTTTATCGATCATTACTATTAACTATCAAGATCGAAATGTGATCGTTTTCACCTTCGCACGCTTTGACATACTTGTTCCATGTCGTTATTAACTCTCGTGTTGAACTATTATAATTAAAGAATCCCAATATTTTACAAAATTAAAGATCGAATTTCGTGCATTTCGATGGAGCAAAAAGAAGGCACTCTGTCCGCTGGCGAAACTCACAGGAGGACGCAAAAGCTTGCACAACTAAGCGCTAGAATCCGCAAGGAAGATTGTGCAGGACGGGAGGGTAGCTCGACCGGGTCACGCTCTCTCTAAGACTCCCCTCAGCGTTGCCCGGCCCTAATCCTCTTACGACTACTTCTACCAACCTATAATAATCCTCTTTGCAGTAGATGTTGCCGTCCCTGGCGAAACACGTCAACTCGGCGGCGAGAGGCACACGGCAGTGGCAGCAACGAAGGCAGCCACAGTGCCACGCGCGGTCCGCAGCCCTTAGATACCACCGTTCGGCTATCTCTCTGCCGCAACCCCCGCAGCCGAGGCCACCGTCGGTGTTGTTGTTCTCGCTGGTGCCGATCTGCCGATTGCTGACGGCACCATCCCCTGGTGGGGGTGTGCTGCTCCCACAGCCCACTTCCTTCAGCATCTCGAGAAGAACCGCCGTGACCACCGGCGCATTCTGAGACAAACACACAGATTGTTTCTCTTCACGTTGCCTAGCGTGCAATTGTTGCTGAACCTCGAGGTACATCGATAAGTCAATTTCATTAATTGGAACGAAGATTTAGTTGATAATTGTTAAATATGGTTGGTCTTTGGTAAATCGAACAAATTTATCGGCTGTTCGTGCCCTCTCACTATCGTAAAATATATTTCATGATTCCTGCGTAGGTATAAATCTGATGAACTATGTATTTGGTTCTCGACAGGTTCCAAGATTGAGTTTTCAAGAGTATTTATAATTTTCTAACTCAACCGCTTATGGTTTGTTGCTCAATGGTAATAGATTTAGAAAACAGTTGAAGCACATTACTCTATCCAATTAGTTAAAATTAGTATACAAAGTATAGTAAGGTAGGTGTTTAAGTTATGGATTTTTCAAGCAAGCCAGTACCAATTACAAATTTCAGTTTCAACACCATTTTCCCATCCGAGAATCGATCCGAACGACAACTGTACGATAGCGAACGTCGCTAAATAAAAACAATGACGCTTCGATTCGAGGATCACCGATTTCTCCCTGGAAGCTTTCGACATCGGTATTTGATATTTTGGCAAATGGACACTCGAGGCTGCTCGAGCCACACGTCCTCGATTTCACACGGATGAAAATTCAGGCGACGTGCAACGAAATTTTTTTTTTTCCGCGTCATCGTCGCGATGACGAGAGAGACGGCGCCATGGGCCAAAGGACTCGCAGCCTCCTCCTTCTCCTCTTCCACCTCTTGGAGGCGGCGGAGAAAGAAAAGGAGGAGGAGGAGGAGGAGGAGGAGGCGGCGGGTGGAGGAGGAAGGTGGAGAAGCGGCCCCGCATTCATTCAGCACACTTCTCGGCGGCGGCGCACGCAAGAACCGATGAATGAAAACAATTCGTGACTGCTGTCCCGTTAATGAATGACTCCCGGGGCAGTGGCTCTCTCGGTTTCGAATCGGCCGCGAGCTAATTAGTAGAAGCTTGCGGATCGCCACAATAACTCAACGTCCTTTACGAGCGCGGGCCGCACGTGATTTCCGTAAGTTAAATGGAAGGTGACGTCGCCTGGAATCACCGTACACCTCGTTCCTAACCAAGGTGACGCCGTTTTGCTGCCGCTTGTCACCGACGTATTAGGCCGAACGTGTGCACCTTGATTTACAACTGTTAACCGTTCCACTCTCGATCCTTTCTTTTCTTTCGTTCTTGCTCCTCGCCGTGCTCCCGTGTTTCGGATTTTCGTTTAATATTGATCGATCGCAGGGATGCGTGCGTTTTGTTCGGTGGCGAAGTGATCATTCCTACGTACGCACGCACGCACGTATTAGGTTGAACGATCTTAAATGATGATAAGATTGAACGATTTTAGAAAAATTCTCGTACTTCAACTGGTTATTAACCAGGTAAACTGTTTCTGATTTCAGCGCGTTGCGTATTCTTTATGAAAATACTAAAAGAAATATGCCTCTGCCAATTAATAATTGACTTCTTCCCACGGTGAAAAGAATAGATGCTGCAAGAGTTCAGAAGCTAGCGTACGAATCAAGTGTAAGCTACCTCGTAAATACAAACATTCTTACGTTGAAGACACGATCTCATCTGTCTTGCTCAGTCACCGCACGTCTACGCGTTAACGTTAACTCAATACATTAAAACAAATTATCTCTACGTTCCCTTCATTGAATAAAAACATTTTAAATCGCATCGAGCATCTTCGCAATTATCCTGCCAATCTCGAACGTTAAATCAACGCACCGGCCCTCGTTCTAACCACGCTTCAAATTCTAATTCTACGCTCCAATTCATTATCGAATCGTTCGTTATCTTACCTGAGTGTTAGTTCAATCAGCTGTAAACACGGCGGTGAATTTCACCGATCGTCTTCGACGCTTCTTCTGTCTGGCCGGTGTCTGCCGTCGCTTTCCGTGCCAGCGCTTCGGTTCCCACACCGCGAGATTCACTCGTCGAAGCTGGCTATTTCCATCCGACTGGCAGCGTTGACCTTGAGTCACGAGTCGCAAGCGTTTCCCAAGCACGGTGTGGACAATAATGCACGAGGGACGTCGTAGAAAGGCACGATCGAACGTCGACGTCGTTCACGGGATCCGTCGGAAGCGGCCGCGACGACACTCGCGAGGTTGGAAAGTCCCGGTAGAATGTTGGACGATTGAAGTGGACTGCGTTGGAAAGTTGATCCGCGTGAAACGGGTGTCGTGGAATTTCTCAGAGTCGTCAGTTCAAAGCCGATTGTCTCATTCATTGGAATTAATCCGGAGCGAATTGAAGTGAAATTGGAATCTGCTAGAAACGTCCCTGAGTTCTATCGCAAGTGGAAAGCACACTGACATAAGGGATTCAAACATTTGCCAAAATTACGTGCTTCCAGTCGAAACTCCACTCGTCCAAGAAACCACTCCACTCCGTGTTATCTTTGCTCGTGGTACGAAACTACCCTAACGTCACACCATCACGACTCTACGACAAACCGGCGACAAAATCCACGAGGATCACTGTAACTCCATCCTCCAGCATCCAACATTCCCAATTTTGCTCCAATCGTCCAATTTTACCGATCAACCAGCATCGACCACTTCAACCTTCTTTCTCTCTCTCTCTCTCTCTCTCTCTCTCTCTCTCTTTTTCTTTCGCCGATCTTCTCCGGCACTCGAGCGAACTCTTATCACCTCCGGTCGCAGATCATCACCAGGAGTTTGCGTTGTGTCGCAGCCACGTTCTCGCGCGTCTCGCCTTTTCGCTTGGCCGACGGAGCCGAGCCGGAAGAGACGCCAGTTTTCCGTCCGACCGTAGAGGGACGCCTCTCCTCTTTTTGCCCCGCGAGGGAAAATCGTACGCGTTCGCGGATAAGGTCGGCAGTCGAGTTGGCCGCGAGGGAAGCTGCTCCCCGTCGGCGTAATAGTACGATCCTGGGCTGGCCAGGCAGAGGCCAGGGGCGGACGTCGGCATGGTAGAATAGAGGGGTTGGCCCCCGCGTGCACCGACGTCGTAGCCACGGGGTGGGGTTTTCGGTGGCTGCCCCAACGGGGTAGAGACGTCGGGACGCCTGGCGTTTGCGCGTTTCCACGCTCACCCTCTGTCTTTCTTTCACCACCGTGTTCTCGTAGCGTCTACGTAGCCGGCGTCTAGCCGACCTCCGCGCCGGATGACAAGAATCACTTGCAACGACTCGCATCGCCCGGTGTCAATTATGTCATCGGGTTTGTAGGATGTCGAAGGTTCTTCGGTGCTCTGCTTCTTTCGGTTAGGCTGCACGATGATGAGCATCTCTTGGGTTTAGAAAGGTATTACCTTGGAGATTCTTTGCGAGAAAGATGTTTCTCCATAGATCTGGGGAAATTGATAGATTTTTAGAATCGTTTCGAGTAATTTTAACTGTACGTGAAACACGTTGACCTGTGTGAAAAGAAGCGGAAACTTTATCGAGAAAGAATTCCACTTTCCGTTACCTATAAATAATTGGTTTAAAATTCGAAAAGTTGGTGAAGCAGCCGGCGACGAGACGAAGCACTCGAGCGAGCGGCGGGCGCGCGCGTTCGTTCGAGAGTATCCGGCCGGCGTGACAAACGGTCAGCGATATTAAAATCGTCGCAGGGACACGTTTTTCGTCTGGCCACGACCGTCTGGAACATCACTGGCTGGCCCGTTCCGAGCAAACGCAATTTGTAGCTGTACGCGTGAGTGACGCGTGACTAACCATTCGCGTGTCACGTCATTTCTCCTTTGGTGCCGCGCTCTTCCCATTCAGCCTGGTCCCTCCATCGCCTTCTCCTACCTCCAACCGCCTCTTCTCCTACCTTTTCCCCCCACCTGGCACGATTACAAATTAATTGAGAGTGAAACGCGAACGCACCGGTAAACGCTTTGAAAACGACGTCGACTAGGGGGCTAGAGGCGCTAATCGTGAATAATGAACGCCGCGCCGGCCCGCCGCGGAACCCGCTTAGAACGCGCGCTGCCCCGACACACGCGGATTTCCAACGATAATCCTGGCCGGTGCCAAAGAGATTTTCCGATTGTCAAATCGAACGACCAGCCGCCACCGCGCGCGCGTCCTCGCGGAATTAATTACGACGGATGTCGAAACACTGGCGGTGCTCGGGCTCTTTTGAGTTATGGCCGGTGCGGTCGTTCTGTTATTTTCCAAGGGGAAATAATTAATATTAGAATTACGAATGTACGTGAAACGTGTGGAAACACGGGAGTTGCCACGTATGCCACGTTTTTGGAGTTTGCCGTGACGGTATTTAGGAGATTTTGGTGAAATCAAGTTTGATTTATTTTAATCGTCGATTGGCGATGTTAACGTTTCACTTTTCACGATTAAGCATTAGTTATATTAATGACATTAATGTTTTACTTTTAATGATTTTTAAGGGAAATGCACGATTATGTGTACATTTAGTTTTATCGTTGAAAGTTGTAGAATAAATCGAACGAACGGCAGAATTTGTCAATTGGTATTCTCGCGAGGATTGTGCAACGGTGTAATGAAAAGAGGAAAAAATCTAAGATTGCAGAGAAAGTAGATCTGTCGAGAGAAAATTTACACCTGTGATCGTTATCTAATATTATTTTTCCTGATTTCTTGAAATTGGACTCTGAAGTAGAAAATTCCCGTAAAACTAGATTTCGAAGTTGTAGAATTGGTCAAGGAAATGGTCGAATTATGCGAATGAAGCACATAGATTTCAACTATTGCGTAATAGTTTCCGCTTTTCTTCTTTTTCTTTTCAAACTGTAACGAAAAACGTAACAAAAAAAATTTCACGAGTAAAATCCGGAAGATAGTCGATTCCCTGTTACACAGCATATTCAATTGTAATTTAAAAGATACGTAAAACTCATCCTAAAATTTCGTTTTCCTTCGTCCCAGTCTACTCACAATCGTTTCAACCAGTCTCAACGCGATCCCATTAAATGCTTCGTAACATCGAATCCCAATAGGCCTAAACTATTTCTCCAAATAGAACTAACGAAACGAAACGAGACGAATCTAAAGAGCAAATAGTCCACATTCCACGGCACGTGAGCGCATGCACCTGTTTCAGCAGAAAGCTAGATTTTCTCCTGCACACGGTTTAATTGTAATCGAATCGCGGTGACAGTTAGACGTATTGTCCCCCGCGACCAGTTCTGGTTTCGTTGGCCTGAAAACGGCCGACTATATTTGGCGACGAAACCAGTGGTCGCATGTGTATTCGATTCAACACAACGGAAATCCATCGTTCACCGTGCGCGACGGAATCGTGTCTCTGGAGTGATCTCTCTCTCTCTCTCTCTCTCTCTCTCCAAGATATATCCCATTAAGTTCGTTAACCAAGGAACAATCGTACACGGTCCCCACAAATCGACCTTCGCCGATTTTATACGCCGTTACCATCTTCTTCTCGCGTTTCCAGCTTTCGATCCGCGTTTCACGGCAATTACGTTCGATGACTTTCCTCGAATTCGCCACGGGATAGAAGAGAGATCGAACGACGCGCGAGTCTGATCGATGGCTGTTTCCACTACAGAGATTAATCGTGGCCTGGCGTCACTTTCGTTCGTCTGACAATACAGAATCCACTCGAAGGCAATCGTATTCATACGAGATTCATAGGTTGACGTCGTATTGGTATGGTCGTGGAATAAATATCGTTAACGAGACCTGGTCTCGGCCTAAAATTCGTTCTCGGTTCGCCGGGTGGACGAAAGACGAGATATCAACCCACTTCAGCCGCGATCGCAGCCACCCTCGTTCGCCGATGTCTCGAGCTGGCTCGAAAATTCAATCCACTCGAACGGGAAGACGCGACGATGCGGAGCTCGCAACCCCGTTTCCCTCCAACGAGCATCCACGAAAGAAAGAAAGGAAAAAAACAAAAAAAAAAGAGAAAAAAACAAGCGAAAAAGGAAAGGAAAAGTCCCAGCGATCCGAGTGCTCTCAATCAACGACAACCTCTCGCAATCTTGGAGATTACGGGCACAAAGAGGAACGTAAGACGACTCGGAGCAACCCCCGTGTCGCGTAGTAAGAGCGCGCCAGGTACGTCCCGCTCCAAGACTCTGGGGATGCGACGTCATATCGATCAGGGACTTTCGGAACAGCCTAGCAGAGGGACGGCTGGAAGCAGTATTAACGAAGAAGAAGACGAACACTAGGTCTATCTCCTCTTCCTCCCCTCTTCAACCACCTCTTCTCTCTCCACCCTTCTGTCACTCTTACACACACACACACACACGCTCTCTCTCTCTCTCCCTCTCTCTCTCTCTCATTCTCTCTCTCGCTCCCTTTTGCTCGTCCTCTGGTGTGTCCTTGTTTGACCTGCTGGAGGGGAAAACGAAGGTACACTAACCCCAGATCCGAAGCAGCAACCTTTCTCTGCTAGGCGCGGCCTTCTGACGCCCGCTCGATAGAAACCCAACCGGTTCCAGCCAATGGGAGGACCGTACGAAGATAAAGCCGTCGTCCGATTGGCCGACGTGCTATTCAGACTGACACCGCGCTGATGGGAAACGGCGAGCCACCGAGCCGCGTGGAGATGGAACTGGTCCCACCAGCATCCACCACACGGATCCGGGGATTCCCCGTGCCGTGAACGAGAGTCATCTGGCGAATGCCGCTGGAGGCCGTTTTCCACCGACCGATTCTACTTGCGTCTGCACGAGGATTCATTCCGAGGAAATTGCTGCGGAATCCGAGTGGACGGGCATCCTGGAACATCGAATTGGGTCGAAACACTGCAGACATTTGTCGACGGTTGTTTTGTCTTGATTTTATCGAGTGTATCACTCTTTTGACGATCCTCTTCTTTTCTTTTCTTTTTTCCGATCAGTTAGTTCCAAAGGCGTTTTGGACAGTTGTTGAAGAGTAGGCATTGATTGAGGATCGATCGTTGGGGGTAGAAAATTACTTGGAATAGATATATTGTTTATAGATAGAATGGTTTCGTGTCAATTTTTCGATTATTCTTTTTTAAAATTTGCCACTTTTAAATCTGATTTTAGGCTGACACAAGAGTTTAGGGGGGAGGTAGCTTGATATGTTATATTAATAGTTTTAAGACTTGTTTAGTTCCTTTTCTTTGATTAAATGTACTCCGAAAATTGAAGGGGAACAATACGATTCGATCGATGACAAATTCTCTCAAAACTTTGATCAACATCATAACGTAATCAATATAATAGTAGAGGTGTATTTAAAATTTTGTAAATTGGTAGAATTTCAAGCTAAATTTGATTCACTCCAAAACTCGTGTTGCATCTCGTTCCGTCAACCGTCGAGAAATTAATTAGCATAATTGAACCCGAGTGTAATTTGAAGGCTTCGTTAACACTTTCTTTATGCTAATCTCGAAATACATACATCTTAGCGTATGTCGTGCGTAAGCAATTACACAGTTATTCACAATCCTTATCTACTTATCGTCGTCATCCAATTTCAAGGTAATCTAAGATTAACCTACTTCATCCGCTGACTTCGTAAACTAAACATTATTTTTCGAACTGTGAGTCGCGAAACAGTGTAACTCCGTAAATGTATCAAATGATCGATTTAAAAATTTGATTTAAAATCCTGCGTTCTTTCATTCATTTTACTCTCGCCTAATTTCTTTTCTTATCATTCGAAAGTTATTTTGTGCATTAAATTGATAATTAGTTGTATTTCTTTCATAAAAGAAACCTGACAGTAGGAATATGTACATATGTATATACTACGAACTGCCAGTACGTTTAGTGTTAGTAGATCAAGTTCAATTTTTCTGTCATCAACGGTATTAATTGCATGGATGACACTGTTGAAAGAATGATACGATTATAAAGATTCATAAAATAAAATCCTGTGTTGGATTGCATTTCAATTTACCAGTTCAATTATATCACGTACAATCATCTGTCGATCAATAATCGAAACCTTCAACCTCACAAGTTCCATAGGTTCCAAAAATTTAAAGATGTATCAGTTTAAAACAGAAAGAA